CTACTTGAGATTTTCTACTACAATCTGACAACTCATGCCTCGGCCAAATAAATTCTGAATTAACAGGTCTGGGAAGGAGTCTAAATACATTAACTTTCGTAAGTACCTTAAGTGATCCTTAGGATCAGGGAGTTTATATAGTGTTTGTAATTCTGGATAGAATGTGAAGTTCTTAGAGATTCAGGACAGAGTATGTAGTTCTTGAAGATTTAAACTCAGCTGAAGGGTACTTGGAAATATGTGATTGTACCAGACACTTGACTTAGTCTTGGCCAGGTTAATGAGAGAATAGGTCCTGATCAGAAACAGTATAAGAGGATATTTCTGCCCAAGGTGTGAAGGTAATGTCATTGACATGTATTACTATTATATGACATCTTAAGAAGTCTCGGGAGCTGGAGAAAAATGGGAGCAAAAGTACACCAAAGTGTAGCTATGCACTTAGAAAATCCTGTTTCCTTTGCTTGTATTCTCTACATATCTTCTTCTTTAACAAATAAATAAAAAGAATCTAGTAGAGAGATGTAGAAACTTAGTAACTGCTAAGTTTTTTTAAGTACTTACTATGTTCCAGATAATGGTCTAAAAAAAAGTATTTTACAAATATCATCTCATTTAATTCTTCCACAACCCTATGTGATGAAGAAATAAGCATAAAAGTCTAAGCAACACACCCAAGCTCACACAGTGAGTGACAAAGTTAGAATGTGAAACCAGATAGAATCAACTAATATAAGGACAATGCAGAAAACATATCTGCAAAACAGTTGACACTGTACTAAATACCTTTAAAATATTTGCTCAGATGTTTTTAATATTATGTATACTTTTATCTTATAAAAGCTTAGTATTCAACCAGATTTTCTCAGTCTGATCTTCATTTCTCACCCTGTCAACATTCTCTGGTAATAGCAGCTGCAATAGCACCAACAAAAAATCCCTCTTGACAATTTACTGATTGGGTTGAAATGAATCTGATTTTTTCATAATTATAAATTGATTTTGTCATAATATGCAGGATTTAGTTGAAGCATTTTAATTAAGTAGTTTGAGCCTTCACAGCCTGATTTTCACACAAAGGCAACTTTTTCTAGGCTGGTATTTCAGTGAAGTTTGTCCCCAGGTTGAATTCACAAACTAAAGCCAAGATTGCTGACAGCCTATTAGCATGTTAGCAGGAATACAACACAGCTCACTAAAACACTAGGACATCCACATATGAACTACTATTAAACTAAACTGTCACTGAACCTGCTTGTGTGTGTGTGTGTGTGTGCAAGCTACAGATGAGTTGAAAGAATGAAGGAAGAATGAACTTAAGACTTTCCAGCTTGCTGGAATATTACAGAATATTTACTTTGTTGAATGTTTTTCTCCTTGGAATTACAATATCTACGGCCTTTCTGAACCATCATCTGTCACAGATAAAAATGTTCAGAATTCTGGGCCCAAGGACTGAGCTCTTTCTTCAGCATATCTTCAGAGGCTGCCGTCTAGTTCGGTACTAATCCATTAATCACCACAGCATGAAAATGATGCACTTAACTGCTCTAATATCCAGTCCACATTCTAGTTGTGTCTACAAGGATACTGTGAAACAATCAGACAATGTTTTGTTGATATCAACTCATACCCATGGCGCTCATCTAATCTAGTATTTCAGCGGTTTAATCTGAAGAGGAAAAGTAAGTTTTTCTTTCCCCCATAAACCTGTTCTGCCTATTACTGTTCACACCACCTTCTGATCCAAGAAATTCTAACTTATCTTTTTCATATATTGATTTGGAATCATGAAGAGCTCTTCAGTGAGCTGTAAGAAATGTAGGCAATGAGTCCATACTCTCAATTACCTGATTTAAAATCTTGAGCCTAAACCAAAGTGACTACAAATGGACTGATATTTTCTTGATACTGAGTATTGCACACAGATTTTTATTTCTAAAACAATGCTTTTATCATGTCATTTTATCTCAATACATGAAATTTAAATCAGGAAAAGAATTGCATATCTTCAGTTTCTCAAGATAACTGATTATAACTGAAAGCATAACATATTTGTGGTTTTAAATATTTTGAAAATGAATTCAATTAGGTCTGATTATTTGAACCCATTTATAACAGTCAGATGTTTGATCTATTTATTTTTATATATTCAATTTCTTCTTAAAAAGAGTTTTATGATAAAAGAAGTATGAGCTCATTCCTCAAATATAAAATAAAGCCCACATAAATATATGCAATAAAAAGTAAAAGTATCTTGTTCTACTTTATCTTCATTCTTCCTGGAAGCAATCATTATTAAATCTGTAGAGCAAGGGGATAATGTGATTAAATAATCTATACAAGAATATTGTTATGGCTGTGGTATGCAGTTACATGGGGAATTGTTTTTTTGAGACAGGGTCTTGTTCTGTAGCCCAAGCTGGAGTGCAGTGGTATGATCATGGTTCACTGCAGCCTCGACCTCCTGGGCTCAATTGATCCTCCCACCTCAGCCTCCTCAGTAGCTGTGACTACAGGTACGTGCCACCACACCCAGATAATTTTTGTACTTTCTTTTTGGTAGAGATGGGGTTTTGCCATGTTGCCCAGGCTGGTCTCAAACTCCTGGGTTTAAGCTATCCACTCGCCTTGACCTTCCAAGATGCTGGGATTACAGGTGTGAGCCATTGTGCCTGGCCTATTTAAAGAATTATTGATAAGTCTTTTCTCCCTTTGCACTAATCTGAGATTTTGAATAAGAAAGTATAAAACATAATTTCCAAGGTTCAATCTCTATACCTTCAGTTGAATGAGGAATTCTTAAATAATGTGTGTATTTTTGACAGGGGATGTTTTTTGGGTAGGCAAAATAAAATCAGTTCATTAATCAATACTTCGTTATTGGTTATTATAAGAATAAGTGAAAAATGCTGTACATATATTTATATACTTTGCAGACAAAAGACTATTTCAGGGCCAAATGGAGTAGTTAAAGGGATATGTAAATATATATTTAAATACACTATACCAGAGTTTATCTCACAAGAAAAATGAGTGCCCATCAAAAGAGAACAGTGAATTTTGACACCTATCCACTGAAAATAAAACAACAAAAGTCAAGTCATGCTATCAATCAAAAAAGCATTTTTCTAATCTCTCAGATAAATGAAAACGATAAGGGTAAAAAGTAAGGTTAGTTCTAGGACACATGCTAAAATTAATTCCTTGCCTACATGTTCTTAGTTTGGATTTAAATCAACACTATTCAAATTTTAGTAATTTAACAAAGGCTTAGGTCATAATCTGCTCTCCCCATTTAAAATCCTTTAGTTTTAAACTGATAGCATTATACTGAAAACACAATGGAGAATGCTTTGGGACACATTTAAAGAAGTTACCATTTGCAAACTCTATTATAATTTTTCCCTCAAATAGTCAAAAGAGAGATGAAACTGTAAATCAACATTAATCAAATTTAAAGATTATGCTTTTGATAGGAAGAAAAATAAGCGGTAAGCATTTAATGAATTTAGTAATGTTTGTTATTCGATGTGAATAAAACAAAGTTTATTCATCTTTCGCATTTATTTATTTACATTATTTACTTACACTATCAACAAATACGTATTGAATACCTATTATCTACCAGGTATTATTGTTTGATATATTGTTGAAAATACACCAGTAAATGAAATAGACCAAGTCACGGTCCTTATAGAACTTACACATTTTACCAGGGAAGACAGACAAAAACACATATAAAATAATTTTCAGATGGTGATAAAAACTGTAAGAAAAACTAAAGTGGGATAAGATGTTAGAGAATTACAGGTTAGGGGGATACAGACAGATATGAGTACAGGAAAATTTCAGACTCTGAAATTCCTATAATTGACCACTACAGATGACGAAAATGTCCCTTACTGAAAATGAACCTACATTTTGTATTCAACATAATTTCAATTTGCTTAACACTTCCTGTATTCCAAATCACCTCTTAGAGAGCATTCTTTTATTTTTCTATCTTAGTTTTTCTTCTACATGTGCAATCATTTTTCTCAGCATACTTTTTCATTAAGATTGTTTCTAAGATTATACTTCTGGTGATATATATTGAAAGTTTAAAACCTTTTGAATTCTGAATTGATGAAATAAAAATGCTTGATAATTTGGCAATCTTAAAGGATCAATGACATTTATTTAAAGAAAAATATCATTAAATGGAAAAAAACCCTGGCAAGTATTTAATAGTAAATAATGAAATTAATTTACATAGAAACTGTTTGTTGACCTAGAGAAAGCCTAGCAAATGATGAATGTTGTTTTTAGTGTATACATGTATATGCGTTCCTGTGGGATGGCAAAGGTAGTAGGGATAAGGAAACATTTTAAGTTCAAAGATTCTTAACTTTAAACAAAGAGCTGGATTTCCACCAAGAAATGAACACTGGGATGTATTTATATCTCATGCACTTTCTAAAGTCCCCAACTTCCAAAATCACATTATTGTAATTGAGACAGTAACTATATCTTTTTTAAAAGTAGCACCACATTTGGTGATAACTTTTTAAAATGAGTGCTATGATAAAATAATCTTTCATGAAAATCTTTTATAAAAATGGAAGTTTAGAAAAATATTATAAAAATATGAAAGCATACGAAATTATTACTATATTAAATATATTTAAAAAGTATCAAACCAATAAATTAAACTTTTATTGACCAAATAGCCCATAGGAATATTTTTAAAATATTTCTTTTTTGGCATAGCATGTGGGTTACAAACAAAGTGTTGGATCCAGACAGCTTATTTCATATTCAAGTTCCATTTCAGCTATATGGTTTGGGGCAACTTAACTCTGTGCCTCAGTTTACTCATCTCTAAAATGGGGATAATAATATCTACTTCTCAGCATTGGTTTTTAGGATTAAATGAGTGCCTAGAAAAAGTATCTAAAATTAAGCAACCGAAGTTAGCTATTAACTCAATATTTTCCTCTCCATATAAACATACTTACTTTTAGGAAAACTTGCAGATCTTGAGTCTGAGTGTGCTGTAGAATGTCTTGCTGTAAATGTTTGAATATAGCTATACAGATATACACTTGATAATCGGGACCAAGGAAAACACAAGTAGCAATATAATGGCAGATTTCTATCCAATCTAAATAATTCCAAAAACACTGGGTTATCCATTGCAGGCAAATCTTTAAAAAAAAAAAAAAAGTAGTAAGTTCATTTAAAAACTTATAAAACCACATTTGACTTTTAAAGAACATTAACCAATAACTCATACAAAACCAATGAAAAGCTTAGCAGTTAATCAAAATACAAAGACAGTCTTCACAGATGCCTAACAAGGATGCTTCTCCTATTTGCTTCAGTTGTGAAAAAAACTTTCACGGCCTTGGAATTTAGGTCTTAAGGGTAACTGATAGTGGTCACACTCCTCATATACCTATTACTCAATGCCTTCTTTATTCATATCGTGCTCCTCTTACCCAAAACACCAATCTGCTCTCTACAGATAACAAATGCTAAGAGACTATTTTAATTCAAAGATGGGAGTTTTTTTTATCTATCCTACCTACAACCACAGATGTATAATTATGCAGATGACAGATTGCTAAATGTTACATTAATGCAAATGGACTCTTCCCGAATCAGAAAACAATTTAAACCTAACAGAATTACATAACATAAAAACCGGGAGCTAATGCAGAGAATATTTCAAAAATGAGACTTTTACAAAAGGAATTTTTTTCCTGTTTATTTTTTGAATAACATTTGTTCAGATTATAAAAGCAATGCATGCCCACTGTGGAAAACAGAAAAGTTTAAGAAAAAACAATAGCAATGACACAGAGATTATAAATACTGGAAACATTTTGATACATCAATGTTATGGGTAAAGTTGAGCCCCACTCAAAAGATATGTCAAAGCCCTAACCCCCAGAACCTCGGAATATGACTTTATTCGAAAACAAGGTCTTTACAAATGTAATCAGGTTAAAATGAGGTCATTACAGTGAGCCCTAATCCAATACGACTGGTGTCTTTATAAGAAGGGGAAATACATTCACAAAGACAGGCACACGAAAGGAAGACAATGAAAAGACACAAATGGAGAATACCATGTGAAGAAGCAATATGTATCTGCAAGCTAAGATTCTAAAGGCTATTAGAAACCTGGAGAGAGGTAAGTAACAGTTCTTTCCTTAGCAACTATGGAGTGAACATAGCCTTGTTAACACTTTGATTATGGCCTTTTGGCCTCCAGAAGTGTGAGAAAATAAATTTCTGTTGTTTTTAACCACCAAGTTCATGGTACTTTGTTACTATAGTCATAAGAAACGAACACAATTACTTTCCAATATTTTCACTTTCATTTATGATTTACAAATTACCTTCGATGAAAGATTCCCCTTATTGAATATCTTTTCTCCTTTAGTTTTATGGTTTTTTTTGGAGATGTGGGGAGGAAAAGGGAAAAGATTTAATGGCTTAGCTCAATTTGTCATAGGTATAGAGGAAACAGATATAGAAATTTTCCTTTTGTGTTCTATCATTTTGTTCTTCTAAAAATACATTCTTGAAAAGGTTCTAAAAGTTATTTTTAATATCCTTGATTCAACTTTTGGGCATGATGATCCTGCTTTTAACTGATTTGAACAAACTAACACATATTACTTTGCTAGAACCACAGGCAGGGAGGCTTAAACAATAAAAAAAAATTTTTCTCTCTATTCTGGAGAAATCCAAGATCAAGCTATTGGCAGGGCTGGTTTCTTCTGCAGCGTCTCTGAGGAGTATAGATAGATGGTTGTCTTTCCCTGTGTCTTCACATGGGCTTCCTTTAGTACATGTCTGTATCCCAATTTCCACTTTAATAAAGACACCAGTCATATTGGATTAAGGTCCAACTTAATGACCTCATTTTAACTTAATTATTTCTTTAAAGGTCCTATTCAAATATAGTCACATTCTGAAGCAGTGGGGTTAGGACTTCAACAGGTGAGTTTTGAGGAGACACAATTCAGCCTATACCAGAGGGTACTATTGAATTTTTGTTTTCCAGACATTATTACTCATATCAATTATTAACCTTTAAATAAGGCTATTAATTCTGTTCTCAGGTGTAAGATTTTCCTTTACAACTATAATGTTTCCCTCCTGTTATGTTCCAAAATCTTTCCAAAGAGCCCATAAGTTTTAACTCAATATTAAATTAGAATGTATCTATGAATACCCAATATTTGTCAACAGGCAGTATATATTAAATTCTCCTTGGTCCTACCTTTACTGTTCACTTGGCATTAATGGGATGCACCTCCCAAATTTCAACATGGAGGGTAGGCTGGCATGCAGAGTACATTACTAAATCTCCATTGCCCCCACCCCAACAAATCCCTGTAATATGGCTCTAGTGGACTGAGGAAGAAGTATCTCCTGCTCCCTCTTGACTAGGCAGACTGAAGCAGTCTGTAGTACTTTGACTAGGAGCAATAATTCTCTAATTGCTGGTTGCCCTGCTGCCAAGATTCTCTCTCTGTTCTTTGCCACAGCTATTAATGCCAATCAACTTAAGGCCATGCTGTATTAATGAAAATCTAGAGTCTCTGAATGGATAAAGAAAGAGAAACAATTCAAGAATGAAAATAAATACAACAATCCCCACAGCTAGAGAAAACGGTTCCTCCCATTCAATTGTTAGTTTCAGGAGTGAATGAGAAGTTGATAAAGATGTGGGATCTCAGCTTCTGTCCACCATCTACATTGGTTAAAAGAAAGTCACCCTAGAATCTTCAACAGTTCATTATTATACATAGTTTCTAATGCAGTTGTAATTTTTTGGCATGTATATACATTCAAGCATTGTTGTCTGTACACTGAATTTTTCTTCCATTAAATGGATATAATACCTATGTTTTCCCATCACATGGGAAATTTCGAGGAGGAAAGCTGAGAGACTGTAACTGAAAGTACTTTGAAAAAGTGCTATATGTTATAACAAAGGTATAGATGTTATTATTTAACAAATATTTCTTGACCACCTCATATGTACAAGGTAATATTACCATTTTTTATGGGAACAAAAGACATTTATCCCTGTTTCACAAAGTTTACACTTAAAGGGGTATATACATACTTTTTAAACATATGACCCTCTTCGCTTGGTAGAAATTATATTGGCTTTACTATATTTGCAAGTACTTCAGACTTACATTGAAACAGCAGAATTCCAAAACACTGTATCCCTGGAAGAATGCTGAGCTATGAGTCATAAATTTTAATCTCTGAGCAAGTGACTTCTATATATATTTATTTTTTTAGACAGTCTCACTCCATCACCCAGGATAGAGTGCAGTGGTGCAATCTCAGTTCACTGCAACCTCTGCCTCCTGGGTTCAAATGATTCTCATGCATCAGCCTCTTGAGTAGGTGGGATTACAGGTGTGCGCCAAGACCCCAGCTAATTTTTGTATGTTTGGTAGAGACAGGGTTTTACCATGTTGGCCAGGATGGTCTTGAACTCCTGACCTCAAGTGATCCACCTATCTCAGCCTCCCAAAGTGGTGGGATTACCTGCATGAGCCACCACACCTAGCCACTTTCGTATTTTTATAAAGTTCTGCAAATCAACTGACAACCTAGAATTCTAATAGGACAGAGGAAATAGTATGTGTCCAAACAGACATGATGTAGTTTTTTCTTTAACATTATGGAATTTTTAAAAACATATATAAATGAAGATAGAATAGTACATGAACTAGACAATTTCAAATTTTGATTGGTTGATATGTGTCTTAAGTTCCTTTTCCCCTATAGGTTCCCCTCCTTTCCTGCATCCCTTTCTCCTACTAAAGATGTTTCCTCCAACTGCATAGTATTCCATTGTAGATAAACCACAATTTATTCAACTAAGCTCCATTCATGGTCATTTGCAGTGTTTCTAGTCTTTAGATACTATAAAGAATACTACAAAAACATATTTGTGGATATGTATTTTCAAATTTTTTCCCTGTGTACTCCTCGCTTAGAGCTCTACAAATGAGACTGCTGTGTTAAAGAATAAATGGACATGTAACTCTGTCAGAAAATGACAAATTACCATTTATATGTCTCAAAAATATATTATTATATTTTCAAAAACAATCAGTTGAGTCTTTATATTTATTGGAAAAAAATGCTATTATCAATAGTAATGAAATAGGCTTATAAAGAAAGTGAAACAAATGAATTTTGTTTTATGGTAAACCACCATTCCATACGTAATGTAGGACTAATTACACTTTAAGACATTTAAATAGCTTTTTAGGCTTGTAAGGAAGGAAAATCACTTACATAATATGCATTAAAATCTACCACAGCTCTCCTAGGCAATTTTGTTCTTGAACCATACTTAAGATTATGCCAAAGGACATTAAGATGCCACACTGAGGTGCACATTATTTTATCTGAGATAAATTATTCCTCCTTGTAACTAGAATTAAAAAACAATCTTCAAAGGTTCTCATAAGAACATTAAGTCTTCCTCTTTTCCTATTTGAATACCCTTTATTTCTTTCTCTTGCCTGATTGCCCTGGCCAGAACTTTCAACACTATGTTGAATGGGAGTGGTGACAGAGGACATCCTTGTCTTGCGCCGGTATTCAAAGGGAATGCTTCCAGTTTTTGCCCATTCACTATGATATGAGCTGTGAGTTTGTCATAAATAGCTCTTATTACTTTGAGATAGGTTCCATCAATACTTAGTTTATTGCAAGTTTTTAGCATGAAGGGGTGCTGAATTTTTCTGTATCTATTGAGATAATCATGTGGTTTCTGTCATTAGTTCTGTTTATGTGATGGATTACATTTATTGATTTGCATATGTTGAACCAGTCTTGCATCCCAGGGATGAAGCCAACTTGATCGTGGTGGATAAGCTTCTTGATGTGCTACTGGATTTAGTTTGCCAGTATTATATTGAGGATTTTCACATCGATATTCGTCAGGCATATTGGTCTGAAATTTTCTTTTTCGTGTGTGTCTTTGCCAGGTTTTGGTATCAGGATGATGCTGGCCTCATAAAATGAGTTAGGGAGAATTCCCTCTTTGTCTACTGTTTGGAATAGTTTCAGAAGGAATGGCACCAACTCCTCCTCAAACCTCTGGGAGAATTTGGCTGTGAATTGGTGTGGTCCTGGACTATTTTTTGGTTGG